TACACTCCCCCGCAATCACTTTTGCCATACCTAAGCCGAAATTTATTAAACTTCAAAGTTTAATATCTTTGCGGAAAATTATCGTAGCTTAAAAAATCGAACGGCATTTCAAAGGTTATTGCAACAGCTTTCATTTAAGCAGAGGAAAAATTGAAAAGACGCATAATTCTATTTTTTATGGATAAAAAACGAACAAGAAAAAATACGATATTTTTTATCTTTAGTTAATTGCTTGCCAATTTGAAATGAATAATAGTAGGATAATGAAACTAACGGGGTTTGAAAGGTATGCCTTTTACCTTTAAAATGATCGCCCGCCCATTTTTGTGCGACGTTTCTTACCGGAGTTATGAGTATTTTTATAAAAAAACATGATTTTGTTTATTTTCTTATTATCTCGAAAACTAAGAGCGATAGAAAAAAATGTTAAATACAAAAAATACTCGTTTTTAGGTAGAAAATACAAAAATAAAGTCAAAATTAAAAAATCGAAAAAATTTTTTTCTTCATCTTTTTAGGTAGAAAAAATTTTTTTAATTTCTCATTTTATGTGATATAGTTGTTAATTATTCAAAGTTATACATACGAACAAAGTGTAGCGTTACTTTTAAAAATATACACATTAATATTTTAATGATAATGAAAATTTTTTTCTCCATTATTAGGCACTACGAATTATTTTATAAAATTATTATATATTTGATTTATGTATTAAATAACAAATTCTTTTAATAAACAACAAAAATCTTTATTTCTTAATTCTAGAACATTTATTTTATAACGTACACAGTACATAATATGTCATGTTACAATAAATTACTCAAAATTATAATAGTGACACAATGTAATAACATCAATTAATTTTAACTCTAAATTACACTTTGAATAATTAACAACTATATCACATAAAATGAGAAATTAAAAAAATTTTTTCTACCTAAAAAGATGAAGAAAAAAATTTTTTCGATTTTTTAATTTTGACTTTATTTTTGTATTTTCTACCTAAAAACGAGTATTTTTTGTATTTAACATTTTTTTCTATCGCTCTTAGTTTTCGAGATAATAAGAAAATAAACAAAATCATGTTTTTTTATAAAAATACTCATAACTCCGGTAAGAAACGTCGCACAAAAATGGGCGGGCGATCATTTTAAAGGTAAAAGGCATACCTTTCAAACCCCGTTAGTTTCATTATCCTACTATTATTCATTTCAAATTGGCAAGCAATTAACTAAAGATAAAAAATATCGTATTTTTTCTTGTTCGTTTTTTATCCATAAAAAATAGAATTATGCGTCTTTTCAATTTTTCCTCTGCTTAAATGAAAGCTGTTGCAATAACCTTTGAAATGCCGTTCGATTTTTTAAGCTACGATAATTTTCCGCGAAGATATTAAACTTTGAAGTTTAATAAATTTCGGCTTAGGTATGGCAAAAGTGATTGCGGGGGAGTGTAGGTAAGTACAGATATAAATGAAGAAACATGTAGGTAGGTAAGTACAGGTAAGTAGATATAGGTAAGTATGTGTAGATACAGATAATGTATAGATAAAGGTTGTCACAGAAAATGAATTTTAATATTTCTTGACTTTTCCAGGTTTTTCAGATGAAAATGAAAATTTTCTATGACTACAATATATAAAATATGTAAATTTTAATATTTTTAAAAGCAAGGATTGTAAAAGAGCTAGCCTATGTTATTAAAAACAATGCAAAATAAGATTAGTAGCATAATAAAATTTTAGATGCGTTTACTTCCTTAACTTTATTAAGTGAAAATCGCGACTAAACACATGAATAAAAAATATTAAATTATATATTTATTGATAATTATCCCCTTTACACGAGATTAAGGAAGTTTATCTAATCGTAATTATATACTGTACTTCCTCATCAAACAAAAATTTCGCCATGCAAACCATGAAAGAAATAAATTTACAACATACATATTTGTTACATATAACAGACTTCATCATAAACGAAAGAATGGCAATTATGTATCCTTAAGATTCTTTTTAAAGATAGTATAGTATTTCTATTACACTCATTTTTGTTTTCTTTAATAAAAAAATTGATTTATCATTTTTGTAACTTTAAAAAGATATTCGTAATCTTCAACAAGAATGCATTCCATTTCATGCATGATGCATCATTTATAATTGTTGTTTAAGTGAATGTTAAATATGGACAAATGCCTGAAATGGCATGCTAGTTAAGGGATGTCCTGGTTTAACAAAATTATCTGTACAATATGACTGGCTGTCACAAGTAAGTATTATTCAGAAACCAATTTCTTAAATTGATAATTGCTTGCAAATTAATGTTACGTACATAATTAATACCAGGTGTACAAGTATGAAATGCGGATTTTTTTTCCAAAAAAAAACGTTAAATCCGGAAGAATGATAAAAAGTGGTTTATTCAAAGTATGCTCCATTGCTAGTTACACATTTTTTTCATCTTTCGGATAATTTGTAGATACCACGCCAGTAAAAATCTTCCCCTTTTGCCGCGAACCATTCATCGAGCCATTTTTTCACATCTTCGTACGAACCAAAGCGCTGCTCAGCAAGTGCGTGATCCCATTGATGCAAACAAGTGATAATCAGAAGGAGCCAAGTCTGGTGGGTAAACCGCATGGGCTAGCACTTCCCAGCTGAGTGCTTCCAACGTGTCGCAAACCGGTTTTGCCGTATGTGATGGAGCATTGTCATGGAGGAAAATAATCTTGTGTTGCCTTTTTTCGATATTCTGGTCATTTTTCGAGTGGCGAACGGTTGAAATCGATCAATTGTTGTTGGTAGCGTTTGGTATTAACCGTTTCATCAGGTTTTAACAGCTCATAATAAACCACAACCTTCTGGTCCCACCAAACACAGAGCATCGTCTTCCTGCCAAAGCGATTTGGTCTTGCGGTCGATGTGGATGGTGCGCCTGGGTCTACCCATGATTTTTTGCGCTTGGGATTCTCAAAAAATATCCATTTTCATCCCCAGTAACGATACGATGCAAAAACGACTTTCTTTTGTATCGTTCGAGCAAAATTTCACATATGTTTTTGCGCCTCTTCATCTGTCTCTCGTTCAACTCATGTGGTCATCTATCTGCCGACCTTCTGAATCTTTCCCATCTCTCGTAGGCGATTGGAAACAGCTTGTTGACTAAACGCTCAATTGTTCTGCGAGTTGTTTTTGTGTTTGTGAATCGTCTTCGTCCAACAATGCTTGCAATTCTACATCTTCGTACCTTTTTGGCGGTTTTCCGTGTTCCTTGTCTGCAACATCGAAATCACCACTTTTGAAACGCCGAAACCATCGTTCATACGTATCTTGCGATGGAGCATGTTCACCATAAACTTCTCGAAGTAATCGGTATGATTCAGCAGCAGTTTTCTTCAAATGAAAACAAAAAATTAATGCTGTCCGCGAATCCTTTTTACTTGGCACAAATTTCGACATATTGAACACAGCAAAACAATACTATGCAAACACTTTTTCAATTTATCACTTATGCGCGTTTGACACTTGTTGATGGCACAACAAAATGGCATATACGTCAAATCTTTATACTACACACTGCATTGGTGCATCATCTGTTATCTCAAATCCGCACTTCATACTTGTACACCTGATAATTGATTTAAATATTATTAAATATTTGTCGATACATGTTGATATATTCATAAAGCAAATTTTAATTCATTATATTAGTCACTATTAAAATTTGCTTTAGGAAATTAATGAGGTGGTATTCTATATAAATAATGAGAAACATATCTTTTACTTAAAAAACTATTTCCTTATATTTTTATCGTGATAACAATGTCTTCTACAATCTTACTATCTACA